TCAAGTTGATTGGAAGATGTGAACCATGACCCTACAATAAGGGAGTGGACAATGTCTGGAATGCTAGGCGTCACGGAAGAGAAGCAGTTCTAAGCATTCCTCCATGCCGTGCTGATGTACTTTAACATTAATAAAAGCTTTTAGGAGAAAACATGCCTGAAAGTCCTTTTAAGTGTTTCGTTACTCAGACACATGACATCCAGAACAAGGCTACAAATTCCTTGTGCTCTGGGAGAAATAGACAAACAGAAATGTTGTCCTCATCTCCTTCCCTTAGACTAGGGCAGGGGTAGGCAACCTTGGCTCTTTTATGACTCGTGGACTTCAACTCCCAGAATTCCTGAGGCAGCCACGCTGAGGGGAAAGGGAGAGGTTTCCAAGCTGAGCCATGCTGGCTCAGGAATTCTGGGAGTTGAAGTCCACGAGTCATAAAAGAGCCAAGGTTGCCTACCCCTGCCTTAGACTCACACTCACGCTCACATTTACACACACACAGAGAGAGAGAGAGAGAGAGAGAGAGAGAGAGAGAGAGAGAGAGAGAGAGAGAGAGAGAGAGAGAGAGAGAGAGAGAGAGAGAGAGAGAGAGAATAACATATGGAGGACTTCAAGTCTGAAGCAAAAGAGTTACTACTCTAACCCTGGGTACCACTACAAGGTCAATTAAGGATAAAAACTACAGGTGAAGATGGTAATTAGGATTACTATTACAACTGAAGACCGCTATTATGGCAACCACTATTATTTTGAAAACAGGTTTATCTTTTCCCTGGGATACATGACAGCTTAACGAATAAGGCACCTCAAGTACACTTTTGTAACTGCACACCAGCAATTCCCCCCCACCCCACAAGGAATGTGTCTCCTCTTACAACCTCTTTGAAATGAGTGCCAATCGTTGCATTAGGGATTAGTTTAAGGGACGGCAAGTGCCAATTTCATCCCCAAGGATTATGGAGAGAAGATGAAACACTGTCCAATTATTTCTTGCTAAAACAATTAAGGCCTATTATAGCTTAGCCCAAAAGGAGTACTCAGCTTTCCAAATGTGATAGTCCTAATTAGAAAGAAGGGAGGGAGGGAGGAGGAAAGAAGGAAAACAAGAGGCACATTCATGGATTCATGGATGCACCTCCTTTTGTTGAAGTTGTCTATGGAGATTCTCAATCATCCAGATCATGGTTGTCCTGAAGGTGCTTTTTCCAAAAGACAACTGAATGTCTAGGTTTTTTTTTCCCTTGAAAATGTTTCACTTCTCATCCAAGAAGCTTCTTGGATGAGAAGCTATTTTTTTTAAATCAAATGAAAAAAAAAACCCTGGACAATAAAGTCCAGTTGCCTTTTGGAAAAGCACCATTAGGTTATGTCGAAGTTCTACTTCCATGGCGGAGGCGTGACCAATCTACTCACCCGAACACTGGAAATCTGTCAAAGGACCCCCTGTCTCTGTCCAGTCTAATCTCTTTCCATTGTTGTCAACACAAAATGACTTTTGGGTGGAAGGATCTTGGTAAGAAGGTCTATAGTGGCCATTGTTATCACACCGTTCCACTTGTTCGTTCCTCTGGCAATCAGTAATACCTATCGGATGGGCACAGAATAAAAAAAAGTTTGGTGCGACAGAATTCCATTCGATAGAAAATATTTGTAGCTCAGGGTTGAATAGAAGAATCCTTGGTGCTCTCTGAACTTGCTTGTTTTCTTGCAGATGTTTCTTTACCAAACTAGGTAACATCATCCGGTGCTACTGATAATGTTACCTAGTTTGATAATGAAACATCTGCAAGAAAACAACCAAGTTCAGAGACCATTAAGGATTCCAGAAGTCCATTCCTTTGTGATTCTCTAGCTAGCCAAAGACCTTTCTGAATGAATCAGACCTTAAGTTGGAATTTCGGTCACCTAATTTTCAATGAATGCTTACTTCACTGGGCTAGGTGTGAATGCTGTACAAAACTATTGTATAAGGTGAATTTTTAGTTTTGGCTTAGCGTAATGTGCAAATATTATATATGCAACTAATATTCCTTATTCAAAAAGCCATAGTTAAAGCAAACATTACAAACCCAGATACAATCCAGAATTCTACCATCTTGCTCTCCCATTTGTTGACCCGGCCATATTCAAAACAGATGCTCTGAGCATTGTTTAGGATACCATATTCTAACCTATAAGGTTTCTTGTCTTATATTGTGTAATCCCACCCATTCTGCTTCTTAAACCAGGACTTATGACTTAGTGTTACATGAGCACTCAGATAACTATAGCTCATTTAACCAACCTGGGTAATTGTGGTTTATCCAATAACCAGTCCTTGGTTTAGGCACGACTGGATAAGGGAAACCTTTACCTTTCTTTACTTTATGAAGCTACTGGAAACCATTCTAGATAGAACATAAAACAATAGGATTGGAAGGGACCTTGGAGGTCTTCTAGTCCAACCCCCTGCTTGAGCAGGACACCCTGTATCATTCTGGACAAAATGATTATCCAGTCTCTTTCTAAAAAAACCCCACAACAATATCAAATGTAAAGTACATTATGCATTTTTCTAAGAGTCTTACAGTGATCTTCTCTGAAAGCTCCAGTAGAGATGGTAAATTTCCCAAGAGGACACTTCACACAAAAGTTACTTCCTGCTTGGTCTTGATAGAAACCAGAAGGACATGGAATGCACTTCTCATTCTGAAAGGAAGAACCTGGAGGACAGAGAGCTGCAAATGAAGGAAAGGGGCTTATTATTCTGTGGAATTCAGATTCATTTTGAATTTTTCCAGGAGAGAGAAAGAAAATGAAAGAGAGAGAGAAAGAGAAATAGAGAAAGAGAAAGAGAAAGAGAGAGAGAGAGAGAGAGAGAGAGAGAGAGAGAGAGAGAGAGAGAGAGTATGAAAGAGAGAGAGAGTATGAAAGAGAGAGAGAGTATGAAAGAGAGAGAGAGAGAATGAAAGAAAGAGAGAGAGAGAGAAAAAGAGAGAGAATGAGAGACAGAGAATGAAAGAGAAAGAGAGAGAGAAAGAGAAAAATAGAGAGAGAGAGGATGAAAGAGAGAAAGAAAGAGAAAGAGAGAAAGAATGAAAGAGAGAAAGAGAGAGAGAATGAAAGAAAGAGAGAGAGAATGAAAGAGAGAGAGAATGAAAGAGAGAGAGAGAAAGAGACAGAGAATGAAAGAGAGAGAGAATCAAAGAGAGAGAGAGAAAGAGAAAGAGAGAGAGGATGAAAGAGAGAGAGAGAGAATGAAAGAGAGAGAGAGAAAGAAAGAGAAAGAAAGAGAAAGAGAGAGAGAATAAAAGAGAATGAAAGAGAGAGAAAATGAAAGAGAAAGAGAAAGAGAGAGGATGAAAGAGAGAGAGAGAGAGAGAGATGTGCGCATATATTTGTCCAATGGAACTAAGCTGTTACTTCAAATTATCTCTAGATCAAAATACTGACAAATAAGGTTTCCATTTCAGCCAGTAAGCACATTTAACAAGATTTTTTTTCCATGTCAAAGATTAACTAAATCTGCTATTAAAATGATGTAGGTACAGAGTGGAGGTAAATAATTCCAGCCCACTATATTCTCTTAAATTGCTCAGTGAAGCAAGAATATATTGTGCTTTTCAGCAAAAATCTGAAATAGATTTGTCTCTTCACCCAATTAAAAATAGTGGCATAGTAGGGTAGACACATCGTATTTGCTTGGTCTTTTACATATATCTAAATGAAGATTCTTCCTTTATTAATAAGCCACCTGGAGCCACCTAAGTGTGAGTTGGGCAGCCTTGTAAATTTGTTTAATAAAATAAAAACAGATAAAATAATTTCTACTTGTCTTAAGAGAGACTTTCAGTAAGACTAAGCTAGAACCAAAATCCTTCTGTTTCCAGGTAACAAATGAAAAGCAAGCATCACTACCCAAATGATTGTCAGGCTCCAAAGACCAGGCCCATACATGAAGGTCTAATTCAATTGATTTATTGCTAAACAGCCTATGCGCAGGAATCTTCTCAACTAACTAGGTTCGTACCTGCTTAGAATTAGATAAGGCTCAATGGAATTCAAGGGAGGTTGAACTAGTTCGCTTGTGGCTACGTAGGAATTCTAGGCTGATCCCTCTTTTAACTCCCCCCCCCCCCCCCCAGGTTCTGCCATTCCTTATCCTACATTGATACATACCGCATCCTTGAGAATTTGGTATCACTTCTCCAGTAATTAAGACTTTGTGGAAACCACTCTTGCATCCCAAGGAAACTTTAGGAGACATCCCAGACTCTCCTCTTCCAGGAGAACGGAGAGAAGTGTCTGCTTGGAATTGCTTGTTGTCCAAGTGGAGGATAAAACCACCAGTCTTGATTAGCTCTTCAAAACGTCCGAGGAGATTCTCACCAACCATGGCTTTCTCTATCAGTAAATGATAGAAATCAGGGAACGAAGGTAGAAGAATTCCAGTGGGAAAATACTGACAGATACATCCTATGGGCACCTTCCATTGGAATGAGTGGATAATTCAAGGATAAGAGACCCACTCTAAGG